ATTCCCATTCACAGTAACGTGCCAGTCTTTATCATCACTGAAAAAGTACGGCTCATTGACGCCCCGGCCTATAAACTGTACCCAACCGTAATTTTTATGGGATGTAATGGTGACTCATGGAGTACGTGTGGATGGCTGTCTGAACAATATGCATATTTTGCTTATGCACGAATCCATTCAACCATAAATGAGCCTCATCGCTGAAGATGACTTTTCAACGAAAATCCAGATCATCTTCAATTCTTGCCCAGCCCGATTCTGGCAGTCAAGCGGCTTCAGTTCTTGCGTCAATTTGATCTTCTAAGGATGTAGGCCAAGATCTTTTCGTAAAATTCGCCACAACGACGTCAAAAAGATGCCCAACGCTTGAGAACGTCGTATGAGAGACTTCAATTGATGTTCTAGCTGCAACAATATTCCCGACATAACGGACACTTCTTTGTCTCACTGGCACAGAACTTTTTGTACTGTGCCTGTGGTTTCAAGCTTTTTTCCTAAATGCTCAATTGCTGATCTGACAAGACAATTGTGACGACCATAAATTGGACGTGGCGCTCTTAAAATTCAGGCCACTGAATCCGAATTTCGGTAGTAAATTTTAATAATTTTGACTCGTCGTTGGATCGTTTATCTTTTCATGATGAAATGGCAATCCTAACTTAAGAGAATTCGTCACTATCGGTCTACTTTTGTACCGTCCCTATTGAAAACACCGTTACATGCTTTATATGGTCCCCAACGATATCTTTTGCGTATTATAAATTTCGTGGCAAACTATTGTATATGTTCAAGAACTCTGTCAAAAAAGCTGGTTATGTTATTTTAATGACATACTTCTTAATATTGCTTGTTCTCTAATGGATAACTTTGTTGATACTTTTACCAGTTAATGTTTGACAGATTAGTCAGAGCRCAAACTTAGCTTACGTAGAAGTTGAAAATTGAAAGTTACTAAGGCTACTCAGTAACCCCTTTTCTGATAAATCAAAAAGCACCACTACAAAAAAAATAAAAAATTTACTATAGAGCACCACAAAGCACGTATAATCTCAAATATAACCGCGTGTAAATATGACTTATGACACTTAACATTTCTACAGTTCCACTAAAATTCGCAATTAAAATTTAGAATAGCTGACTAGTTCAGAATTGCCTAGAATATATAAAAAAAAACCGATGCCGGTATATAAAACAGTCACTCATTTTAGTCGACAAATGTCTCGCCGTATATTTTCGCTAGCTGCGCTCGCGGTCTCACTAGCCCTTAGCGCTGCAAACGAGCCAGATGGAACACAATCAAATGTTAGCAAAAAAGTGGAACCACGCATTATTAACGGTCAGGTGGTAACCATCGAGCAATATCCCTATCTAGTCGCAGTGCAAATTTGGGGAAGCTTTCAGTGTGGCGGCAGTATTATAAGCCGCAGTGTCGTGCTGACCGCAGCRCATTGCCTGGAACGCGAAAAACAGCCACGCAAATATAGCATAATATATGGTAAAACTGATATACAGGGTGCAACGAGTAATGTTATACAAGTGGAAAGCCTTTTGCTGCATCCAAATTATGAAAATATTAATTCTGATTACGATGTTGGTTTACTATTTCTCGTCGAAAGCATACCGATCGGCCASAGTGCGCAATGCATCAAGTTGGCTGTGAATAGGCCGAGACTCGGTAGTCGGGCCAGTATTGTAGGTTGGGGCGAAACGCAGGCGGTCGAAAGTGGTCRTTTGCATGCTGTCTACGTGTATACTATAACGCGCCTGCGTTGCAGGATGTTGTACATAAACAAGTGGAGAATAACACCACGTATGCTGTGCGCTGGCGTGCCACAGGGTGGTAAGGACGCCTGCCAGGGCGACTCCGGTGGGCCGTTGGTGGTCGGCGACGAACAAGTGGGTATATGCTCTAATGGTTTTGGATGTGGTCTTAGAAAGTAYCCTGGTGTCTATAGTAAYATTGCCGTTTTGCGTAGCTGGATTCAAAGCCATGTGAATACAAGTTGCAGCGATACGAAGGCAGTTTCGGCGTCCAAAGGGCGAACGATACTTACACTATTTGGAAGCAAGAACAGKAGAGACAGCTGAGACGATTTTGAAATTAAAAGCACATATAATATTATTCAGGTTTCTTACTTTTTCCTTATGTGGGAAGTCTGCTGTRTCCAATAACAGCGCTGATCTCGTGAATAAATCGATATTTAGATTATTATCGTTATTAGCGAT